CCCAACCTAAATGAGATTTAGATGTTCGTGAATGGCGGTAGTGTTATGCAGGATGAACGTTTGAGTGTTTAACATTTACAACAAAGGAATGACTTCTAACGAAGACCTCCAAATTTAGTGTGAATGCCAGGGCAGCGGTCACAGTGGTTTGAAGCATTCATCTTACACACTCCGTGACTTTTCAAGTGGTAATTTTTATATTCCCTGAGATAAACATGACAACTAGATACCTGAATTTACTCGTCGCTCAGACTGCCATTGCTTGGTGGCCTAAATTTTGCTCACAACACCCAGAGAAAACCAGGAAGGTCACATCCCTTGACCAATATGCTATGACAAAAACTGTCAATGAATCAAAATTGCAAAAATTTGTCGGCATGTGGGCTGACAAGCAAATGCCGAATCAAAACAAAATAACCTGTCAGTACTTTGTGTACGCCCACTTAATTTATGCTCAATTTCTTCTTTCTAGCTTAGTGAAACTGTTCACAGGTAAAAAGCAAAATTTTTTATTTAGAAAAGACCTGGGATATTTATTAACAAGTCAGTAATTGTGAAACTATGTATTTCTACCGGCAAATGTTTCGGTAATCCTCCTAACCCAATCACTTGTTTAATTTGTCTAAAAACAAAGTTTAAGCGCCCGTTTGCACTCATTGCTCTTGTTTGATATGCAGTGAAGTTTATTTTAGCCGAATAAATCCTTGAAGCCTTTTGTACATTTACTAAGCAGTCTTCGATTTTAAAACGTTGTTGACTACATATTAGCCTAGCATTGCATCCTTCATTCTGCAATTATTACACTTTTTCAGTTTATTAATAAGGTTTAATTGATATTTTGCAAATTCCAACTTAATCATAGTTACTTTACGCACTTGTTCTAATTTTTTTAACTTAATACTAAGCGAAAATGTATAATTTTCTGCATTGTGCTAGTTCTATTGAAGAACCCCAGAATTTAATCTAGTACTCTAGGACAGTGTTCGTTATTTTTCGAAGCTTTCGAACGCCACGAAGCTGTTACCAGATCATTGACCGATTGAAACGTAAAAGCAACTTTCACGGCGATCTGACACGTACGGCCGCAAGAGCTCAAAAACAATCATTTCAATGTCCAAACGTTCTAAATTTGCTTTTATATCTAATAATTCGACAACGTGCCAAAATTGTCTATTAACGTCCATAAAATGTATAAAAGCATTAAACTTTTCGCCACTTGTTTTTACCAGGCTAATAATTGAAGGTATACGAGGTTTATTCGAATGACTCCCAGTTGTCAAAAACATTGCCACTCAGCTTCTGGATAAACTAGGCTGGTCTTTGTACAAAATTAGTAATATTTCAAGAAATTATACAGTAGTGTATAGGTTATGTGCAAGTCAGTTTAGATAAAATTCGACGACATCAGTTTGTGGATGCAAAGGTGAATAAGTCAAAGGGATAGTTTGAGGCTCGAAGTAAGTTTTTTTTTCGCATCCAGTTTAGTGTTGTATGTGCGGTCATTTGTGTTGTGCTCTATTCGGGAATTTCGGGGGAGATTATATTGTGTAATAGAAGATAATTCTGCAGTTCAGTAAAGCTGATGGTTCCATCGTCTGAAATAAAAGATGAAAACAATGACTACTAAGTAGGCCCATTTAAATAAAATCTATCATTTAATATTGTGGAAAATGAAGAAATACTGCCACTCGAGAATCAAACTTGAATTATGGTGAATTTAATGGGACGTCAGCATACTAAGAAGACTTTGATTTACTTTTACTTGTTGGTGAACTTCTATTTTATATTTTTACTGATGGTTTTTTATAAAAGTTGAAATCGTGCTTGAATAGACACGTGTTCCTGTAACAATGAGTCATTGCTTACAATAATAACCTGATATAGCGATTACCATTACCAGGGCGTGCTCATACAAGATCAGTCGTTCTTATTTTTAGCTCAATATTCATGCATAGGGCCATGTCCTTGACATTTAAGGGTCTCCATTTATTGCTCTCAGCTGTGTAGGTATGGATTTGTGTTGCATTTACAGAGCTAAAATTAAGGTCTCTGGCTTACTTAAAATGGAAGCACTGACTGTAATAGACAAATCATGATTTTGTGAGAAGTTCATTAATCCACTGATACAAAAATCAGGTGCCATTAAATCCCACTTTTGTCAGCTGAATTCTCAAATCTGACCAAATTTTAGCTTCTGAGCCTCACTCAAATGTGTTCCTTCAAATTTTTAATGTGTATTATTTAAGCCTGGTTTCAGTTCAGTTAAATTAAGGAATGCTGAGTTCAAGGCGGCACACAAATTGGGGCCGTTGATATCACTCGTATTTCGATGAATGGGCTTAAACATGATGTAGAGTCCTTATTAAACGCCTTTTAGGCCAGCACCGTTAACACTTATCTAGTATAAAGCATATCAATACACCACTAAAATGCTATTTTTAGATCTCTTCAGTCCTTTAATAGCTTTATAGCCATGTCAAGTCCAAAGCTGTGAAATGCAAGCTCCTAGAAGTAAACACTACCAGCATCCCTATTAAATGAATAAAATTTTGAGGAGGTGCAGTTCAGTGTTATGTTTTCCGACTTTAAGAATGACTACCGGATCCATGAAGTCATTTTAATTTTTCAATCATTCAGCTTATACAGAATCCTAATACTTTGGGAAAAATGACAATTTTTTTTGCTTTGATGTCTTCGTAAAGTGCCTTGTTGAACAAAGTATGACTAACTACGGCCTCAACATATATGGATTTATTTAAACTGTGTCGAAATAATAATACGGGGAAAATGGACAAAGGGAAGTGAAAATTTAAATTAGCTAGACAAACTTCAGAGGGGAAATACAAGGCATTTGAATGAAACTCAAAAAAATTTGCGAGAATGATATTGTAGAAAAGGAAACACCTAGAACTTACTATTACCATCCATGTACTTGAATAAGGCCTGGACCGAATCCTTGTGTCTCATAGATGGTTTAACATGCTGAGAAAAACGTCTTTGGAGAGCAGCCCTTTCGGTGTTGGTATCGGCGTCTGAAAATGATAAACCTATTCTCAATGGCACATAAGCGTTGTGAGCGAATATACTTCTGTAATTGTGAAGTGGGACTACTAGAATGATCAACTTCTTATGCATTTAAAATGCATTGAATGATACTGATCTACTTTTTGTGAGTTTCACTTAGCATGGTTACGTAAAATACAACGATTAAAATGCTCCTAAAAGCGTTTTATAACATGATCCTTAAAGTATTTGCAGGCGTGTTTACATTCAGAGGGGTTGTGGTTCAAAATCGGCATTCTGGCAGTTCAGTGATTGATGCCGTAAAAAAACAAGTGAATGATTTACTGAATTTCATGTTTTCAAATGTGGGTCCGCGACAAACAAATTTTTGGAGCCTTTTTACTATTAACACGTGACTTTGCTTTCAACTCGCCAATCAGAATAGCGCACGTTGTGGTACTTCGGCATCAGTCAATTAAGAGGGTAAATGCCTGATCAGATTGACAGCCCTGTTGGCTGTCATTCTGAGCCGTTGCATCCTTTATTCACAACACAGAATCCCGTTTGAGTTAGAGACTTTTGACAGAACGTGTAATAGAGCGAAATTAATCGAAGGCGAAACGGAGCGAATTCATGTTGTGTGCCGCGTAATTGTAATTCGTGATCATTGGTTAACGTTGGTGGTGCGTTTGGCTTCGACAGTACACGTCTGAGGGCATTAGCTGTGTTAAAATCAGGCAAAAACAATGCGTCATCTACCTATTTTCTTTCTCCCACAAAAGCCTTATGCAAGCGGATGCCACCAACGCTATACCATTAAAATAAAAACAATTTGTTCCCGAATCTTTAAAGCTTAAAGCAATGAACCTGAAGATTGCTATACTCTGATTCAGTGTGCATAACTACAACTGCAAGGGCTTGTTTTGAGCTTATTGATACTAAATTGGTTTTTGTGTACGTATACCATGTTTATGATCGGCAGCAATTGGAACAGATTACTTCATAATCTATGAACATGAGATTTTCGGGGTTGCCGACTAGTTATGGATTGAGAGGGACACCATCATATGAAACATCTTGAATTGCTTACATTCACGCTGTAGTAAATATTCATCAATATATTTTTTAAAATATCGCAAATTTCAGCGTTATTTACTGTGCTATTGCAACATCATCATGTGCCAAATGGTTAAAAACTAATTTTATGTCCCCAACAATGTTGATTATTCTAATAAAGCTCCCACAAGGGAGCATTTCAGCAAGATGATAAACTTGATACATTTGTTACATCTAGTTTATATTTTAATGGTAGGTCTGCTTTGGACCAATTGTGTTCTCATGTTTAGTTACTCGTAAATCACTGTTTGTATCCGTTTTTGCCTCAATTGGCTAAGAAAATATTTTTCCTTAGTTTTGAAACTAACTTGAAAGCAGCATCTTCAGTCAAAATTTGACCGGATATGTACACCGTCTTCCTGTTTTTGCCAGATGATTTCGGAATTAATTTTCCGTGAAAAGGCGAAACATTTTTTGAGATTCCGATTTTTGTTTTGCATTAATCAACATCACTACCTACATTTAAATTATTTGCAAGAGGTCTTAATGAAGCTTGACATGGCCAGGCAGATCAGGTTTCTCTGTTAAGAGGCTAGCGTAAATGCAATTAAATTTAGTTTAATTTAACTACTGCGTATCTGTGGATTGTAAATGGCTACGACTTTGAACAAATATAGTTGTTCTGGTAGTCGTAGTCAATCAACTTTCGACAATGTAAATTAGAATTTTCAGGAAAGGTTTTTTCATGGGGTCCGTATTTCTTATTTGGATTATAAATTTAGTCCTTACAGCACATTTATGTTCATTTCTAGTAGTTAGTAAACGAAAATGCAGACAAGATTTGTATATTTCTAGTACATTAATATAAATATAAATTAACCTTTGATGGAAATTACTAAATTAAAATTTGCAACTTTTCCATTACCAAAATGAGGAAATCGTAAAGATTCTTGAATCAAATTGTTTTTTTGTTCCTTATGCCATGATCAAAGGACATCAGTCGACCCTTAATGTTGTTTTGATTGATTACGACTAATATAATACAAATCGATATGCCCCTCAATGAACTTCGCTAAAGTAATATTGCCAGAAATATAAAATCGAACTTGAGATTAAACTACTCTTGTCCTGTAAATACCTGAAGGTTATTTCGAGTGCAATGAATTTTCTTTGTACTTGGATTGTAAGCATTTCGACAAAACTGGGAATTATGTACAAAAAAGGCCAAAATTTGTATACTTGAAATGCATCTAGTAATAAAAATTTGGCTTTAAATACTAAAATTTTTCTCACTCTTTTTTTCAAAGCCTACTCTTATTTACAAAAAAAGGCAACGTTTGTATGAATTTCAGGCAAATTAGAGTTTCATTACAAGGGACACTGTTCTTGTTGTCTTCCTTAAACGAAACCCTCATGGAATTCCAATTGTCGTCTTTGATTTTCAGGGAAGAATTGGAGTCAGTCGTTATTAAACTGTTTAAATGTGAAAAGCTTTCGTGATAGGCTACCGGGGACTAATTTTAAACTTGCAAATCTGAATGTACCCCCCAAAATAAAGCGTTAGCTTGAGTGATATCGAGCTCCCAATTTGTTCGCTGTAAATTAAAGGTCCTAAAAAGTGAGGCTGGTAGTTTCCGTCAACGTTTGCTGCCTGTCCTCAAAGCACACGATTAGTAAGCCAATTCGGGAAATTAAAAAACAAAATGAAGGCGCTACTGACAAGCAAGGTCATAAACGTAAGAACTTAAGTTCTTTTGTACACATGTAATCACATCGTGTGCACTTGAACCATAAAAAGCTGATGGCCAAAAAACATTGTCCACAGAAATGTAACAAAGAATTCAATGAACTTTAAGAAGCTTTTTCAGTAAAATAAGTAATTTATCAACAAATATTCAGCATTAGATTTGAGCCTTTCGTAAACTTTACTTAAGTTTCAAAGTATGTTACATTTCCACACAAATTTGCCTCATACCATGCCAGTACATCTGCTGTCTTCTGCAACCCAGCCCAACATAACAAACTACGCCCAGTTTTCGTGATCTAGAATATGGGGACTTGACACATTCATGCAAATCTAGTTAAGAAAGGGCAAGTTTCCATGAATTTGTCCGACCAGTTACAAAACAGTTTGATGTTCCTTTGAGTAGATAAGTTGTTTGGTTATTGAGCTGTCGAGTGCTTAATTTTTTCCTGGAACCTGTTAATTGGCATATGGTATAATCGTTAATTATACAAACAGAACTCAATTAATTGTTCGTATTTTCGTGAGCAGTAAGTCGTTGTGGTAATTGCAGATGGAAAATTTCCACACGTTTTCGGATAAGATAGAAGTAATGTGAAGCACAAAGTCCTTGCACTAGTGCATTTCAGTAGGACTTGAGCCGCTGATTTAGACCCATAAGCCTCTAGCTTCGTTAAATTTTCCATGTGAGTAACCATTAAACGCATACCTTCGGTTGAATTACAGAGATCTGATTTTAAACTGGAAAGAGGAGTTACAGAACTAAATATGCTCCAAATAAGCAAAAACATCTTATGTCAACTAGTTACTTACACTGATGAATACATCTTGATTTGTTTTGATGGAATTTCTTCTTGCAAGCGACACGGAAGTACCAATTTAACCACCTCTTTATCAATATTGGGAAAATTCAACTTATTTAGCCTTATAATTCGTTTATGTAGCCTATTTGTATAAGCCTTATAAATTAACTTTACCATTTCCCCTAAATGGGCTGTTTGAAAAAGAAACAGTGGTACTCACTGACTTTAAGTATTCCCAATTGGGCTGACAATCAGTGACATTCCATTGTGTAACATTGCATATTTTTTTTATTTAAAACAAAATCAAATGGCGTTTTCTTGAAGAAATATTTAACCATATGTTATGCAATCTCAGCTTACACTCATGTATTTGTTATTTTCTTGGAAGTTACTCATCACTAGTCCAACACGCATTGTGTCGAACACGCGCAACATATAGGTAAAATTTGCTCTCAAATCATTTGTAAGACTCTTGTCAAGTGAGGCAAAAAAAAATAAAAAAACACATTTGTTTAGATTAAAAAACGGTTACTGTGATGATTCTATGGGTGTCGCATTTGCAAAGCTTGGCAAAAACCCAAGGTTACGAAAGTGAGAATACAAAATTCACTATGGAACTTGAATATGGCTAAGGCTTTGCCTTAGTTTAACAAAATATACACTGAGGCAAATCTGTTTATCGAAATGTAAGGACAACATTCGGCAACACCGACATGTCCAAATTATTTTTCAATATCAGGATAGATAAGGATCGCTGCTCCTCTTTATGCTCTTGGTGGTTCGTAGTGTTTTCGTGGACGTTCAGCATTGCACCTATCTATGGTTTTCTAGTTCAAGACCCATGTTTCAATCTGGGCCCGCAGTAGTACTAGGCGCATACTTTTACATGAGTGGTTGATTATTATCCAGCGATGTGAATTTAGGCAGCTGACTTAAAAACGACATTAATTCGACGCAAACGCAAATCTTAACCAATTTCCACAAAGATTTCGGTTAAATAAAATTAGACAAAGCCTGAGGGGTGCTGATTAGATTTTATGATCTTAGTGACAGGTTCTTTTTCCATCATCACCACTGCTTGATATTCATTTTACTAGTACGTTTCTGACAACTAAGAATGCACTAATTTTATTCAGCGAATAGTGAATGCCAAAATTACACTGCTTTGGCCATCTACTGAAGCATCGAAACCTGTAGTTTAGTTCCTCTTTCATAAAAAAAACATTAGTTTGATGAGGATGATGCAAAAACATACACAGGATAAAATCGTTCACGTTAATTTAATGTCATTACTATTGTTGGTTTTCCTGATTTTGTTGACTTACATTGTTTCATTGAATTAGAGCCAAATAAATTGGCACTCAAAGATGTTATTAAAGAGCCACTTGATTACAAAGAGAGTGGTAAAGAACTAATCCTGTTCTTGGGAAAATCACGAAACACGTGCGACGTAGCCGTTCATTAAATAACGTAAAAACATAAAACGGGTTTTAATTTAATGGCAACAAAACATTTAAAAATTATTCTACATGCCTCGGATATTGTTTTCACTAGGGTGAACCCAACTAGTCTACCGTACTTTGTCACCTTACTTAACACAGTGATTGGTGATCAATGAATTTTTTAAGGGTAATCCAATCCGGCTCCTGATAACCCAAAGATCATTTTCTAAGTGATTTGATGTAGCTATTCATTAAGCATCCAGAATATCAAGACTTGGTTTTCTGGAAATCGGTAAGTATTGGCCTAAGATTACCGAACAAGCGGTTTTGAATGGAAGGCTCAATGGCACATTAGTCAAGTCCGATTATTTGTTAACTCTGAAACCCTTTTTTAAAGAACTGATCCTCACCTCCATTGTCATATTGCTTGATGCAAGAGTCACAGACTTTTGGGCACTTATCGCCTTTTGACTTGTCCTTTCGTCTCCGTCCGCTTGGTTTCCGACGCTGGTTTCCAGGAGGTCTCGGATAATATTGTTGCTGTGGCCATTGTGGCGGTGGAGGCGGCACATAGGCGCTGCCATAGCTCAGCAGCCTCGTTTCGGGATAACCCCACCCCCCACCATACATTGTGTAGTAATTATAGTTTGGGATAAACACTGGCGAATAAGGGGTGCGTTGTGCGTTAGGGCCAAGCGCGGGAGCATTATAGAACATGGGGTCGATGGGTGCACCCTCCTGGTTTGCCGTGAGAGGGGAAGGGGCCACATCTCTTGTGCGTATCTTTATAGTCTGATCGTCAGGAGGACTGTTTTCGTTGTCACGTGGTGTGCTTCCTGGATCGTAATAAGGAGGCGGGGATCTCAAGGAAGCGCTTTGTTTTGTGTGGGATAGTCCAAGACTGGCGGATTGCGTGGTGGGCAGCAAAGTTAACATGAGGAAAAGTATACTTAACTGGAGTAATGTCCAGGACGTTTGAAATTTTTCAGGAACGGATTGACGCAGACGTACATGTAGGCTTCGAGTTTGAGACATACTTCCGTCATTATTAACTGGGTGGTTAGCAGAGAGGAATTGTGATTTTTTTTCTGAATTATTGATTGTCTCAGAGATTTGACAAGGTGATATCCGAACAGGACTCAGGGAGTTGGTGTCGGTATTCAAAAATAAAAATAGGACTCGTTGTGGGATTCGGGGAAGATCACTGCCCAGTCTTATAAATCCATGTGTAGGAGTGCATTTTAGACTCTGAGTAGCAGTGGTAGTTTGAACAGGTACGATTAGAGTTTTATCCGGGCCGGTTGAATATAGGGATGTTGCACGTCTCTCAGATTCCTTTCCGGTAAGAAGCATAGGCGTGATAGGTTGGAGTTCACAAACTCCTCCAACGACTCGATTTACATCGATTGATGCACTTCCTAGGAAGCCAAGGGTATCGAGACATAAACCATTGAGTGTCTTTCTGTTAAGATCACCAACTAGTGAAATGTGATGGTGCGAGCCTGAACTGTAAAACTGAATGCCTTGACCTATAGGAGAGTCTCGGTTATAAATAGGAAACTGTGGAGCAAGAAATTGACTCACGCTGAGCGTGCGCGTACACAAAGCATGTGCGTACGTGCATGCATACACTCTAGCATTCAAAGCCTACACGCAAACACACCGAAATGGACCTCTCGGATTGGTTGGTCCATGTGGCGAGTGAAATTGAGCAATAATCTGTACGTACCGCCACAGTAACACCACATCTCGAATGTTTTAGACCCCGTTTAACCATACATGTTTTATGTGTGGCATTTAAAAGTTTTCCATGTAATGTTTTGTCTCTTTGCTAGCTTCTACTATCTTCACCTGAAGTCATTTACACAAGAAATCAGTAATGACGCCAACATGGTGTATTTTAACTATTTTCGTCTCTTAATCAACCTTGGCAGTCAATGTCAAATTAGGCTTTCAGGTTCTTTACAAGTACCCCCCTCCCCGATCTGGGCAAACTGACCATGACGGTAGATCCCCTTTTATTAGCAGACATTCAAGTTCTTTAAATTTAATATGCTTGGCAATGGTGTGAAGGCGAGTAACACGCATAAATCCCGGGAGTTGTAATGATCACGTGTTGTCCTTCTATATTTAGTTTTACTTTAGTGGAAAACTAACCTAACTCTTATATACCATTCTGCCAAATACAGTCCCCTAAAAGCCATCAATGCGTCAAAACTGCTCTGCTTCCACGTAGCAAATAACGCAAGTAGTGTGCCAGCTGATCTCGTGACTAATGTCGAAACCAAGTTCCAGCTCGTGTTTTTTCATTGGTGGGTTGTTAACGTATTTTAGCTCCTTTACGTTCAAAAGAATTTGCAGGAAATAGCTTTAATCTTTCCCGTTAAGTCAAGTCCCGCAATGGCAGGTCACCCAGGTAAGCAAATAGATCTCTTGTCAACCCTTTACAGTCCTAGTTAAGCACGTTTTCATGGCTGGACAGCCAAGTGTGTCGTTAGCGTTGTCCTTCTTGTCACAACTCAAGAAGAACGTCCTAAAATGCTAATGAAGTCCCCATTCGTTGGCACATTTTTCTATTTCTTCGGGTTTAATAGCTTGCATGTGCAAATAGATAGTCAATTGCGGCAAGGACGACATTTGTTTACTTGGATACTTTTCTAAGGACTTAAGAAGTACGAACTATCAAAGTTAACAACGTCTTTAAGCAGCTTTTAGGGCATTTTCAAATTTAAGACAACTGGAATGGTTATTGAATTAGTTCGTTTATGATGAGCGACATTAAAGAAGGCTGCTGTTCATGGGTCGAGGTTTTCAGACCTAAAATCGTTTTTAGATGACACGTTCAGCTAACTTCGTCTATTTTTATGTAAAAGTCTTTTGTGTGGGGTTTTGTTTGTGAAGGAAATACTAGAATTTTCGATGACTACTTCTCATTTTATCCTTATGATGCAGATCACAGACTTTGATTGCGCTCTTTTCATTGATGATGCTTGCTGCTAACATTTTTTTCTTGGAGTAAGCTTTGTGTATTGAACATCAGGAATACCAAAGACGCTAAAAGCTTCTTTTAATTGGTGTCTAAAGAATGAAGAAGTGAGCTTTGCTAACAATTGATAACTCAGTTTAGCTGACATTTCTAAAAATTAGTTTTTAATAATCTAGGCTATTCTTCTCTTTCCCAATAATAAAAATAAAGGACTATCGACTTGACATATGTGGGAAGCGCGCCATAAATCTACTAAAAATTACATCATTGCGAAAAGCAGGTGAGTTGAATCGTAAAAATCGCAGATGATGGGTATTAAGCGTTAAATTGGTAGTCGCCCTCGAATGCTCAACCATGGCGCTGCATTGAGACCACTGCCAAGATTTTCCAGGACGGTGTGTTCAATTGCTTTAAAAAAATCCGAAAATCCATCCACCTTGTCCACACTCCTCCTAAGGTAATTTCACGTGATTCTAGATCACGCTGAGGCGAAGATGTGCCATGTTTCATAATTAACCGCGATCGGTGGAGTGCAACACGATGCCACCAAAGGTGAGTAACCTGTTCTTGCGGGTAGGCTTGTGCCTGTGTGCCTGTGCTTGTGAGACTTCAGAGGCCGTCTGAAAATGGGGACGAAGTTATGTGCTTCATCGATGCCACGTTGAATGAAGCGCGAAAATGTCACTGTCTTCTCGACACGAAGCCCTTCTGATGATGATAGCCGGTCCCAAACATCGTGCTTGAAGAGTAAGCAATGAGGATGATCCTCTCAGTTTGCCAAAATATTGGAAAATTCATGCGTTTTTGTAGTCTGTTCTGCGAAGCATCCGTAAGGCGTGATGTAGGTGTTGGTGTAACAAATGCCAGTTTCCTTATTTCAGCCTAAAGCCACGCCGTTAGAAACCGCCAGATCGGGTAAGTCGCGAACTGGCCTGTAACTGCAAAGTAAAATGCGGGTGTCCAAGCTATCATTATTGGGTAGTAGGTTATTATCCTCGAACTAAAAAAAATTAATTGAGTATTTGGAATGTTTGTCAGTATTTTTAATAATTTCCGATTTTTCTTTATTTTCACTGCTGCTAAGTCATTTAGGTCCATGTTTGATGTGAAACATGTTTGATGGTCCTGCAGAATGTGTTTTAGAAATTCGTAACTGACAGCTAACAGAACGGTTTACAAGACCTTGTTAATGTGATTCTGTTATAACATCACTTGATGTGTTTACAAAATAACTATAATTCACCATGCAGTTTTGGAGCAAAATAGGAAAAGGGTGTTCGTATGTCAGTTCTTTGAGGGCAAAAAATAAATTTAGAACAATAAGTTGTCAGCTAAGGTTCTTCCAGTGTTTTGAGTAATTTTACTGCCTAATTAAATAGTTAAATATTTTAGGCAGCATTTATGAACTAAATCAGTTGTGCTCTTTTGATTATGTCAGGTTTTTCGATTTCTTATCCAGAAATGGTTTTGATATCGCTTATTCAGTCAGAGAATGACTACAGCACTTTATTGATTGAAGTTCTTGAATTTGTACACTAAGCATAATAGATTTTCTTGCGTTTACTGGTCTCTGACCAACTAATGCACTTTACATAAATTTTGTGCCTTCTAAATCGCATTGTTAATTCTGAAACATAGGCCTTCAGATTATTAATAATAGAGGTACTAATCGATGCATAGAATAAGGTATGACAGTGGATGATTTTACATTCACCTATACTTTTTTATCCCCACAGCTCTGTATCCCTTTTGCAGTGTAATAGTAGCTACTTTCCACATTGTAAAGCAAGTTAAAAATTTAAACCTTTGTGCTTATAAACTTTAGAATTGGCTATTTTATGCATTAACATTTGCATACAGATACATTGATTTGAAACTTTAATGGTAGATCTAGAATAAAATTTCGTTTAAACGTGCTTACTGAATTTGTGTTACCATCAGCTGAAACACTGTTAAGCGATTTTCAGTTTATTTTTATTGCAACAACACCGTTTCCCAAATTATTCGAGTAAAAGAATTAACAAATCTAGATAAATTTGGCCATATTTTTAATCAGCGTTAGTTAAATATACATTTAAACTGATGGCCTGCCGATGTGTCTATCATCCCTAGCATCAAAGTGCTTAAGTACACGCCGTGTTCCGATGCACAGTCACGTTTCATCTCTAATTTCCTTGAGAATTTTTTTGCAAATGGCAAGCAGGTGAGGCCGCCTGTCGTCTGTAGAGGAAAAATAACACGCATTCAAATCTGTTGTGCCAACTGGGTTCCCACTACACACAAGTTCAAAAGGAACTTAGCTTTTTCAAATTGCAACACTAATTGGTCCCTGCATTTCCAAAATCTCCTTGAAAACAGCAGATTGATTTCAAAAAACACTCTAGAAGTTGAACCTGAGTTTAACCTTTCACTAAAGCACAAAAAACACATCAAGAAATATGTCAATTTCAGTCAGTAATCAGCTAAGATTCCTTCAATTTTTGGAAAATATATTTAAAGAATGGACAAATACTGGAAATGCTGCAGTGCATTATCTATTTCAAAAATGCTTAATAACCTTACAGTTCTAATGCAGTTGATTCTGCAATGTTGAGAAAGGCACTTAAAGTCATTTATGTTCTTAGCTTCCTTCTTCGTTGCATTTTCAATTTTCAATTTCTACAGCTCTGTCAACAGTCAGCTAGCAATGCTAGAAAATTTACAGTTGAAGTTATTAATGTGCCGTCCTGTTTACAAGTTACGGGTTTTTAAATTTTTTTTCTTCTCCGAGGAAAAGCCGCCTGAGAACTTAGGTTTGTGTAGGCTTTCAAGCTTTAGGTTTCACCAAAAACAGGTTAGTGTACAGATATCTAAGTAGTTTTAACTGCAAAATTATTGTTTATTCCAACGCTGATTTCGAACCCCTTTTAAGAAATTTGCCTTCTATCAATTTTCCCTCTTCTCCTGTGCTGATCAACAAATCTTAACCCATGTTGAAGTCGACGTCGTTTGTGTTCATTACGAATAGATCTAAAATAATCAAACATTTTTATCTCTAGATCTAACTATAATGTTATTTTTAATTCTTTTTTGTTCGGAAGCATTAGGGTGAAAAGTAATGCACCTGTGTACATATCCGCTGGCAGTACACACAGCTGAGAGGAATAAAATGCCCACCATTTGAAAATACACTTGAAGGGGTACGCTGACGAAAGTGCCGCAAAGCACACCAGCGGCACAAATATGTGAGTCCGGAAGGGAGGAATTTGATTATCAACAGTCCTTCCTTCACTGTAAATGTTAAACACTCAAACGTTCATCCTGCATAACACTACCGCCATTCACGAACATCTAAATCTCATTTAGGTTGGGTAAGCTAATATTAAAATTCACAAGCTTTTTCGACTGACGCCTTCAACAAAATATCCTGCTGTGTCTGCCAACTGCTGCATTGCAGGGTTAGTGAATGGAATGGACACGAGATTGCCATTGTTGACTTGGCATGACACCTTTCAGATGCTTCCTCCAGCAAACGATTTCGCTGAGTGGATGTGTGCACTTTACTGGGATTGAAGGCAGGCATTAATTTGAGCTTCAACCAAACTGCTGACAAGATTGTTGGAAAAGTGCAAAGTGTTTA